ATAGATCAATATGAGGAAATGACAAACACCCTCCTTTATTCATTGTCAAACGCATAATTGAAATAGGTTATACAAATGATTTTAATTCGACTTTTCGGTTTTGCTTATCAGTTACTTAGGGAGAATATTCAAGTTTAATGAAACCTTAGCTAAATGAAAGTTCAAGCTATCCTCTTGTTTGTTTAAAAATAATCTGTACACATACTAAATGTACTCAGACACTACTATTTTAATACATAGAATGGTATAGTTTACACTATTTCTTTCCTTATTATTTACGTTTTATGCTGTAATTTGTCTCCCATGTATAAATGTGTTGCAAAGTTAATATGTAATGAAATTGTTCAACAGGCAATGTGGTAATAATATTATATGGTTTTATCAAATTTCATTTTCTGATTGGATCATTCAAATTGGTCAAAAGGATTACCTACAATATCTTTTAGAAATTATCAACAGTTTTAAGAGTAGATATTATTTATTATTAACAAATGAGTTATAGATAGTTTATTTGTAATGTAATTCTCATTTATAATGTAAATGTTTATTAAACATCGGTTTTAGCCTCGTATGATTCAATATGTTGATTGTCATGATTGTAGAAAGTAGAGCCGAGTTTCAATTCATACTTTCTTTATTATTAGGCTAACGCTCCAACATGAAGTATACAAGTTATGTATCCCTGTCTAATAATATGACTGAATGATTTATGGAATTTTTCTCAAAAAAAGAATGATATAATGCTGAATATAAAAGAGTTTTATCTTAAGATAAAATTAAAGTAATTATTGGAAAACAGTAACCAAAAGGTCTACTTACAATTAATAATTAAAGCTAGAAAATGACAGAAAACCTGTAGGACAGAGTGATTATAACAAATGACTTCCAAGTTATTAACCCTTGAATCAACTGGTTAAACTGTAAGTTCTAAGTGCTTTACGAGCTTTGACCATACTCCGATCGTTAACTTTTAGAGTAGTTCACAGTTTTTTTAGTTTCAATTCGGACAAAAATCAGGAGAGTGAGGTAAGTTAACTAAGTAGTTTTCATTATTCAATACAAACCTCAGTTAGTGTAAGTTGCTGGAAATTTTTGAACTTGCAACAGAAGACTATGTCATAAAAATATACTACTATATACTGTATTTTTCGCTTAGTTAATAACATGGATAAATGATATAATACATAAGAGGATGTAAAACAGTACATAACATCTGATAGTTAATTGAAAAGAAATGTTCAGAAAATATAGAAAATATAAACATTTTCAAAATAACAATTACTTATAACTTTAAGATTATTTAAAGTATGTAATGTTTAAATGTAAACTCTCAATAGGATGGATAAAGGAAGTACTTACCAAGACAAATGGAAAATATATGGAGGATTATTGTGACAAATGTGCGGCAAATTTTCCCTATTTAAAAAATACACAATAGTAATATATAAAAAATACAGAGTTATCAACAATGATAGTCAAAGTACAGTTGAGTTCCGCGTGATAACTACGATCATTGGTTGAAAAAGTTGGGCGATATGGCTCAAAAGTGGTAGTAATAATAATAAGATATTACACTATAATTTTTATTGGTTTTTATCAACATTATACGTAAATATCAATCTTAGTTAAGTTTACTGTTATATGCTTGTCTACTTCCACATATTATGACTTTCGATTATATACTTAATACTTATTTCAACTTCACTAATTAAATTACAGCAAACCTTTGTTTCTGATCACATAACTTTTGATAACGTTAAACTGCTTGAAACTGAATGAGAAGCCTTAAAATTTATTCATTTTAATCGATCTTGTTATTTGTGCCCTACTTAAAATTTTTTAAATGACTACGTTATATGAAATTCTTGAAAAGAACATTTTTTTAATGCTAATCATAATAATATATACTGAGTCACTAAGCTTGTAATATCGGTTGCTATGTTAAGCCTACACAGCTTATTCTAGCTTTCGGTGGAGTTTTGTTCTCTGAGCTGGATGGTTTGGTCGAGAAGCTTTCATCGTTTTTCTGAACGACAGCATCAGCACAAACTGACAGACCAGTTTATTCATTCTTTTGAATCACATTTTGACCTTGTCAATTACTCGCTTGTCAACCTTGACTGTTTTTATATAAGCGTATGTGTGTGCATTTCTTATCTTACTCATCACATCTCTGTAACTTATTTTCGTCTGACTATAAATGTCGAGTCACTCTTGATTAAATCGAGTTGGCTCAGTCGCTTTCACCAACGCACGTCATTTTGTTTTGCTTCTCTTTTCGACCAACGATTGTACAAAATAGACGTACTCAAAATCCATTCTCGGATTGGTATTATTCAATCCCGTTATCCACTAACGCGATTTAAGTCGATGATTATATACGAGGATTGGTGACATATATAAGTCGATAACGATAATCATACGATCGAACTGGAGTCAGATCTCAGGACACTGAAATCCGAATTCGCAAATTTATTATAAATAAATATATAAATCACACATACCATTTGAAGGGAAACATTTGTTCAGTACAAATTGTACGATACGCCATAGAAGACATGAAACAAGTATCAAAATCAGTAACCAATAGGCTTGTTTCAAAACTGGTGTAGTGCATGATAATATTTCTGACGATATAGACTTTATGGATAATGCATTCTCGAATAAAACATCTTCATAATCATCATCCCCTTCAATAGTTTCTAGATTATCTAAATAATTTCCTGACAGATCATTGTCTCCATCTCCCTCGTCTATCTCCTCAAGTAGTTCTTCTTCATAGTCATCCATATACCAAGTTTCTTCTTGTTCATCCATTTTTCTCCAACTAGTGATAAGAAAGTATTTTCATTTGATCAAAAGGACTTAAAACCTAGAGAATAAAGGTAAATATGCCAAAACTATTTACAGACAAAAGAAAATTTATTATTTTCATAATATATTTCATAGTTTGAGTGAAATAACATTAAATGATAGTTAGAAAAAGATTCGTAAGACAGCTTTTACAATAGGTTAACATCCATCGTGATACCATTGAAAAGCAGGGAGCGACAGGCAAACGTCATGTTTTAGATTGAGATTACCATAATCACCAGGTGGTACTCACAAGCCTAACAGAGACCAAACATAAAACCCTAAGACGTCTCAACGAGTGAGTGATCAATGAGACAGGTTCTGAGATTTACATTTGCAACTAAAATCAATTCATTTTAGACAGAGTAAGATAGGGGCCGGCAGTGGAATCCAGGACGTGCGTTTCATACTGTGTGTGACTTAATTAATTAAATTCTATTAGCGTTTTGGAAATTATAAAACATGAGGGTGAGAGTAACCACATAACTAGCTTAATACATACATTAATAAACTAGATTAATGGGAATTAATTGACTTGTGCGTAAACTCAACTAGCTACACAAAACTTAAAGTATAACATCTGTTGTCTGTTTTCTCAGTATTTTAAAACGTGCATTGGCTGACTCTACTAATCTATCTTCATGTTATCTAAGCTATATTTTTGACCGGATGGTTACAATTTTTTGTACTTGGTTGCGGTTGAATAATAAAGTATTATGTTCAATGTGACAAAAATTTATAACCAGATATATCAGCCAGTCATAATCGACATAGGACCTGGTTTAAAGATGTATCCACTCAAGCTGCTATGCTATACGAGTACAAATAGAGAAAACCGAGTGAATAGCAAACAATTTCGAATAGTAGTAGTATACAGGATATTATAGAAGAGTACGTGTAGAGAATATAGAAAAACGGGATAATACAGGATGAATCTACGCCACTTTAATTAACCCATGTCGCCTCATCTAATGCTTTCGATCGTTGGTCACAATTATCTCACGGAACAAAACTAGGTCTGTAGTCAGAACATCTTCATAAGAGTCGAACCAACAGTTAATGACTTCATGAACTGACTAGGTTTGTTGATTTCCTGATTACTAGTTGTCATCTACACAACACTACATTTCGGGATAAACAATGGTTGAAAAAAACATCACGCAACGCAAGTAATCTGAAACCATGAATAATAAAATGTTCTAAATAAATGGGAAAATGAATATTTTAGGAAGTAATTTTTCGCGTATATATATATATATATATATATATATATATATATATATATATATATATATATATATATCGGAGATAGGTCATCCAATGGTATCCAACAACAGATTATGACTATAATGAACTTATAGTTTCCAACAAGGATCAGTTCTGTAGTTATTGATTTGATGTGATGTCCCATTCTAGCATTCCTCAAAACCAAACATATGCTCACCAGAACAGCAAGTCAGAATAGCTTTTGGCCAGGTATGCACTACATATATTTCCCTAAACTCAGTCGATAAAATTTCACAATCTCATCAGACAAATTACTATGTTTATTGGGAACTATAACCCCACTCCAGTCTCAGGACTACTCACTTGCTGGTCCTGACATACGTGAGCTGTTTCCGACACATTTGTGATCGATTATTAACAGCTTGTGAATAGGAAGTTTCTTATTGGTTTTCAATATAGTTAGTCATCCTGTATCAAACATATTTTATGGACGATTGTAATTACCGCGTATTGAAGTGGTAGTTTAGCGACTGCAGCACTCAGTCTTCAACTGGCAGATCCATTTCATCAACTCCGGTTTGGACCATCGGCAAATAGAAACACTAGCCTCCACAAAATGTATCCCTAAAAGCCAAATACATCAACAAGAACTTGGTAAATAAGTAACATCGAACTACAATCACGATGCAATTACAGATAGATATAATTTTCTGAATGTATGTTTTTGAGAGTATTCAACTAGATATTCTAAATACATGAAGCACAAATTAAAATATCATCCAAGCATGACACAAAAAAAAAACAAATTAAAAGAACAGAAAATTTTACAAAAATATGTATTTGTCTTCCTTTAATCATTCTCATTTACAAAAAATATACTGAACAATAGAAAGAAAGGGAAAAACAATTTTTATTATACATCATAATGATTTTGAAAATGTTGGATTACTAGAGTGTGAAGACATATATTGAAGGGATAAGTAAATTACATTAGGCTGTATTTTATTAGTGCTACTATTACAATTACTATGGGTACTTTCATCGGACGTAATTTCTTTTGATTGTACAGATAATTTCGAGTGTTCACTGACAATAACTGGGGGATCTACAACACTACCATCATTATCATCATCGTCATTATCATTCTTAATTTCACAATGTTTTATTCTTTGAACTGTAAATTTTCTAGTAAACATTTCAATATTACTAACTGTAGCTAGAACAAGTATTTTTTTCAAACCATTCGCAATACGTAGTTTAGCTAATAATTGTGAATTGCAAAATGGATCTGTTGGATTACAAATTGTAATAATATGACTACCATGATACAAAAGTGGATCACCTAAGAAACAAAATGTAAAAGAAAAAAAGGAAAACTGTAAAGTAGAACATACTTTTTGAGTATAGTAGTGAAAACATATATAGCTTGAAAAACTCTTCAAGTTTTGTTTATTCAATAAAGACCATAATATCATTATTAAATTGAACAGTTTAATTTATACTGAAGATGCATTTAGATGAGCATACTTGTGATATAAGTATATAATATTCACATTAATTCATAATGTACTAATCAATTTACGTGTAAATTAGCTTTTTATTACCTGAGGATTAAACTTAGAAAGGTAGTGAATATTTATGATAATTTGACTATGTTGATACATTAAATAAAGGTTACAAAACTGTTCGAAACTAAATGGTGTTGGAAAATTGCTTTCTTTAGAGTACGGGGACATAATTCATAGTTTTTAATAAATTTGGTCAAGTAGTGATAAAGTGTGTTATGCTCTGATATCAGTGGTGAGTTATTACTGTTATAAGCGGGCAAATAAATGAAAATAAAGAAACTTTGAAAACTATCCTACCATGAATTAGCATGAAAATTATTAGTGTGCATTTATCAAACAAATCATCTATGATATTGTCCTAAATTCAAGCGGCCGTTCGACTTATTCACCATTGTCATATTTTTCTCCGTTCAGAAATTATTGTCAAAGTCCGTGCCAAAAAGGTCCAAATTATGTACAGAATGTGATTTATTATTTATGAAACCTTAAGGATGTATATGGTATGTATATAATCATGCAGTCCTGAGTCTAATAATGATATAAAGTACTCGGTTGTCTTTATAATATCCTTATTATGAGATGGAAGACGATCAAAAAGTTCTGTGGCAAAATGATTACTTATTTGATATACAGAAGATAAAAATAAAATTCATACTGATTGCGATTAACGCAGAATACGATATAAAACTAACGGCACTCGAACGAATATTAGAGGACAGACGAAGCAGGAGAAGTGATTATTGGGTAAGAGTCGAAAATGTTCAGAAAAGCATGGGTATTTATAGTTATTAGCGTTGGCTATGACATCTTTAAAATGCAGCCAATCCTCAAGAAGGCAAATTAGGTTAGTGTTCAATCGTAGCATGCAACGTTGATATTCTAAAAAACCCCATCAGGGTTTGATTAAGTGGAAACTCTTCAGCTCCTTTAAGGTCGTTGGAGGCTCCATAGTGGTTCTCGAAAGCTGTCTTAACAATTACCACACCGCAATATAAGTGATTTTACAATTTTCCTATTAAAAATTCGAGAAATCCATTTTGAAACTAATTACTAGAGAGCACAATAACTCAGAAAGATGAGATATAGTGATGAATGTATTGTTTAATGCTACCTATTGCCTTACGACATATGAATATTCACTTCACTTCTGATTTATTTTATTTACATAATTAAAGCAAATTTAACTATTTATTTATGAAAATGAGGACAACACCTTTTATATTGTTGTCAATAAGAATCAAGAAAAAAATATATGTACATTTCATGAAGTTGTGATCTGCATTATACTGTAGTGAACGAGAACACAAGTGGGGACAATCAAATCGATTTGAACATAAAACTACATAATATCTTAGTAAAATTTGAGAACTATACAGCAAATACTTCATTTGCAAAATGTCAATCATTCTCTGTTCTTGTACTCTGTTCTTCGATCTTCTTAACCTTCTGCCACCAGACATTTCACTTTCTATTGATGATACATACTACGTATATCTATCGACATCAGCAGCACACACCACAACAGTGTAATATTACATTATTATTTCATGTAAATAAAAACTATAGAGAAGTGAGTATAACAACCATTATAAAGTACGGCAAATAACCCACCAGTGAAAAGTTATGAAATTGAACTTACGAAAAATAAATAATTACTACACTATTACATCATATATTTACAGCACGACAAAAATAAACTAAAGATATTTCATACTATATTAACGTAATTAATGAGAGGAATTTTATGTAACATTCGTGTTTGATACAAGAAAAAGAAAAAAAAAGGAATGAACACAAAAGACAGGTCGAAAAAGAAACAGAATCAAAGACTAAAATTTACTACTCACCTTGATAAACCAGGAGATCACCACCCATTTTTACAGTGGATGTACTAATATAATAACCTTTATTCCACAAATCCATATAAATCAAACAAGATTGTAGACGTTGAATATACATATCTTGTGTACTACTAATGTTATTTTGATCATCAGTATGCTGATTAGAAAAATTTGTTGATTTACATTTCTCTTGTATCAATTGGATTAGCCAAGTGACAACTAAAAAAAAGTAAAATCAATACTATATACAACAGCGGAAAGGGATCTGTGGAGAATTATTTGATTTATGAGACTGTTCTTAGTCCAGTCCTCTCTGGTTCTCAATTATACCCGATATAACATTATTATGTGGTGAATATATATATATATATAATCTCCTAAAACCCAGGTTCATAGTCAGAGACGTGGCTGATCTCCTGTAGTACTGAGATGTACTCATAATTGATCGGTAGAATCCGTCAGTGAGCACGAGTTCCTTCAAGATTACAGGCAAGAGATAAATAGCACGAAACTTAGGTCCAGCGTATACTGTTGACTGCCTCCAAGCACCAGCTTACATTTAAACATAGTGCACGCAATGTCGAGTCGTTTAGGTTAGTAGCCATATTAAGAGTTGATCGATAGGATTCGATCAGCACTAAAGAAGAACCTGACATACGTGACACTGGTCGCCATTCATTGGTCAATCAACTCTAAAAAAAATCATTATCATCTACTTTAATTAGATGTCAACTTTCCCAAGAGTTATTTCACAGATACTTAATCATTCACTAGAACAAAACAGTAATGAACAAATAACGAATACAAATGAAACAATTAAGTGGAAAAATGTGAAAATTGTTATTTTAAAAACCTCGAAAATGGTAATGGAACATTGCACTAATAACTTGAGGGAAACATGTTAACCAAAAAAACGAAGAGATTAAGGATTTTCCCAAGGTGAAGCTAAACGATTATAATAGTTAAAGAAACGTCGGTCAGAACGAAACAGACGCGGCCCGGATAGCTCAGTGGTAACATCTCTGGCGTTGAAGCTGAGTGACACGGGATCGAATCCATTAGGGAGCACCAGTTCCCTCAAGATTACAGGCACACCTTGCTGACGAGTGCCAAGTAGCACGAAACCCGGGTCCAGGGTTTCTTAAAGAGCCCCCAAATGCCATGGTATGGCCAAGAGTAGGGAGAGTCCGCTCTCCCTCTCGAAATGCTCCCACATGGCCACGCGTATATAGCCTCTGCCAGGGAAGTCCTACTCACTGCCTTCTCGTGGCGGAGGTGTTGTTTACGAAGTTCAGAGGACGAAAAGTGAATGTCCGGCGCTCTAACCGGGTCGGTGAACATGGAGAGTCCACCTAGGGGAGTTGGAAAACTGTGATTCCAAACCAATGGTGCACATGGGCTCCAGTATCCTGAAGGAACAAATGGCGTAGGAACCAATCGTCGGTCACCGGCTACCGTGGGACTGCATCTCCTTACGATGCTCCACTGCCTTGTGGGTCAGACATTCAGGTCGAAGGCTCCGAGTGTGGATCCCTAAGAAAACCACCCGCTTCGGTTTGGGCACCCGGGCAGTGTCACAGCCCTCACACATATCAAATGAGATTTGTGTGGCGCATATGTATTTGGTGCCTCCTTGTACCAATATCTACGTGTTAAAATAAATAAATAAATAATAATAACAAAACAGATATTTAGCATTATCCAATATTAAAGAATTGCCTCTCTCTTTGAAATACTTAGTCTATGTGCCAATTTCATTTAAACCTTGTCAACTGAAATGAAATATAATAATAGTATAATTAATAATTATCAAACACTAGTGATAGAGAGCAAAGAAATTAAGTGTAATAACATCAATATTAGGATTGTTTCGACAAAGTGACTAACTTGAATAAAGTCCCTCAGAAAATACACTTTCTGGCAACCTAACAAACACATATTCGTCAGGACGTCTCCATTCAATAGGTGTAGGACGTGGTAAATGTTGCGGAATGTACGGTAAAGATTCCTTAATGTTTTCACTTGATATCACAGACAATCTCGATGTTCCTTGACGTGTATTAGAATGTTCAGAAATTAGGTCATCCAAAGTGATAGGTGAATCAGAGAGCTCAAAAACGTCTTGATCACTGCTGTCATAAATATTGCAATGATCATCGTCATTACCAACACTACTAGAGTCATTCGTAAACATTTGTTTCTTCAATTGTTTCTGAAGTAAACGTCGTTGGCGGCGTCGTTTTCTAGTTGATATCTGTAAAGCTACATATTTTGAGCAAATACACAAAAGAGAAAGAAGATAACTAATTTTACATCATTCATGTATGATTGTTGATAAAACCTAGAAGTGAAAGCGTTTAACAGGGATGTAATAATGAGAATTATGTAAAAAATATTTTAATGACAACAGGCGAAAAAGTATCGGTAAGAGAAAAGGAATGAATGAATAATTTTATAGCTTACATCACGGACTGATACTAGTAAAACAACCATAGTATGAAGTTTTTGGCAGTAAATATCTACGACCACGCCAATAAAAACTGGAACCAAAACCCTCATGTATCGTGGTGAGTGTCTAAATTTTATACCATTGAGCCGGGAGTCAGTGGTTCACAAGTTTAATTTTAATCAATTCACGATACTGTGCAACCATCTTCCGACGTCATTGGTAGGCAACTAACTGCCTCACACTGAACGTGGTTGCAATATAAACAAATAAATATATTATTAAAATATTGCGTTCCACAGAAAAACAAACCACCCAAATCCTATAAACAAGGAAATAAATAAAGTTTACACCAGAAACTAAATTTACTTCATGATAAATTGTGAAACTATGGTAGTAGTTTTTCCCATATTAGATTTGTTTTAATGGAGTAATCACTTTTGTAAATCTCATAATGAACTCTGTTAAAAGCCCACAGCCTACTAATATGTTAAATAACAGAAAATAAAAGCCAAAATACCATAATAAATGGCATATTTCCATGGTGTCAATTGTTTGCAGTAATGGGAGGAGAATATATACATTGCAAGTCATACATCAACCATACTATCCAGTGAAAAATGACCAAAAAATCTCACAGTTGAAAATACATATCACATAAATACTGTTTCACAAGCCTTTAAATTTTAGTCTTTTGAATAGTTACAAATGAAGTGTATGTGTTAAAGTGAGATTTACAATGGTATATTGTATTTTGTATTTGGAATTCTTTTCTACGACTAAATATATAATATTGAACAAATCAATAATTATCATTGAACCATAGAAGACTGTTTTGTTTTAGTACCAAGGTGCTTACTCAAGATGCTTACTTAATGCATACTCAAGATCGAGAGAGTAGTTGAATCCACGATTTCAGAACTCATGGCAAGAGCATTAATGAAATAAAAGAATTGTGATACAGATTTGTAAATTCCCTGACTTAGTCAAACCATTTTATTTAGCGAACATCATTGACTGTTGTCAGTCATGTATCATACACCTGAAATATTTACAATTATATCAGTAAACAAAGTCTGATAACATATGATAATATAAACTCTTTGATAAAAAAGAACACAATAAAATTATATGCAGGTTAAAACAAATAACCCTTTTTTAACAAACGAATCAATGGACTTACATGAATTTAAATTATTTGTGTCATAGTTTTTCGAACACCCATTATCGTCAACTGTATTAACTGATGATGAATCATTGTGATTGAATAACTTGGATCTGGCTTGGCGTTGTTGATGTAACTTTAAACCATTCAATAGCTGACCATAGTAACCAACTGATTTTAATCGTTTTTGAGTTTTAAATATATTGACCTGTCGTTGAAAAAAAGGAATTTATAACAAAGAGAATTTATAAAGCTAAAAGATTAAAGTTTTTCGTCAAACAACCTAGTAGGATTCTAACCAGAATAATGAAAACAGTAAGTGATATTTTCTAGTGATGTCATCAAACTTGATTCAAAAGAAAGGTCTATCTATGTAGTAATGGACATAGATTTACTGGATAGTAATTTCATCTGTAATACCATATATATATGCGAAAGACTGATAATGGATCTAGAAGACGTAAGTAATTTGATTATTATTTATTCAAAAGTGTTTTTAAAACACTGCTTAGATATGAAAGAACCATTGAATTGATTATACTAAACTTAGGTACACGGTACTAAGTAAATGTGGTAAATCAGTTGATACAACTGTGAACTTTTATTTAATGAAATGATCAACGTATTCATTACCCAGATTCAACGGCTGCCAACACTGATATCTTGCGCTGGCAAGCATAGGATTAGATTAAAAGATACCTAGGGGTGGTTAGTTCAAATTATATCATTAGTTTATGAAATAATTCATGATTGAATTGAATTGCATCAGGATATGGAGAGTTTCTATTTAAAATAATTTCAATAATCGTAATCCCTAGTTGAGAACTATATGATAGAGTAAAGCCTTAAAGATATCTAATACGTCTAATTTAAGTAATTACAACTAATCAAATAACAGAATATTCTACCATGTAAATCCTTTTGAAACAACGGGTCATTTGTATAATATTTTATAAACTTATATTTATGCATCTATAAATATCAATCAAAAATTACCATTTCTTCTGCATTCTTCATTAATGCATCATGATAGGCTTCAATTGTTTCCTTTGATGGTTCAGCAACAGAAATTACTGGTCTACTACATAAAATACCATGAATAAAACCTTTAGATAATAGTAAAGCAACTTCTTCAAAACTTAATCGTACAGGTAATCCATCTGGTTTTTTTGATTTATTATGATAACATCCTTTGAATAAATCCAATGGTAATGAAGCACGACCAATAATTCGATAGTTACGACGTAACCAAATAACAGCTTTATAGAATAATAATAAGAGAAAATGACAATAATATAAATCGGTATATAAACAATTTGTCGAAAAGATAAATTAATGAAGTCAATAATTTTGTCAATAATACAGTATAAACAACAGAATAGAAACAAACAAATAACCAAATTGTAATGAAATGATAGTACACTAATAAACAAGAAAGAAAAAAGCATGAATAAAGCACTTTATACGTAAATAGACTTTTGTTTTAGGGAAAATACACACTAGCAAATAAATAAATAGGCATTGGATATTTAAGGAAAAAGAACTTAAGCTAAATACATTCCATTGAATAGTGAACTTAAGAAATATATATGTACATAATTTGTATTTGCTATAAGGTAGTGCATTCTATTACGAAACAACAGTATGTATTTAATATCGGTAAAAAAAACATTCTTAAAAGCATGAAGAATAGACAACAACAACAACAACAACAACAAAAATACACACAATTTCACTAAATAATCACTCGACTTTTATAAATATGAATATACAAGTTAGTCAAGAATTCCTTCCAATCAAACGACTGTTAGAGAATTTTCATAACTAAAAAAACTATTAAATAAATAATCAATGGATATGACGGATTTACCTGCGAAATAGACAATTCTAATCCTACGTCTTATTTGATATAATCTAGATTATGAATACCCATGTATTATTTATTCAATGGATAGCAATCAACGTAATCCTATTTTATTTTAGTGATAATAGAATTTTAGTAATCAGGCTAGAAATATTCAACCTATTTTCAAATCTAAACATTTCAGGAATAAGGTAATAGTAGAGTTTTTTAAAAAGTGATACATACTAACAAGAGAAAATAGTTAGGAAGAAAAATTCGGAGAATAATCGTAAAACTATATCAAGTAACTTCATTATATTATCGTAATACGAATTTATGCATTAAATTTCTAATTCTATAGAGTATTTGTGATATATGATGGATAAAGTAGACTCTCAATTAATAAGAATATGATTTATATTAGTCAAACATTTACATATGGTTAATGTCTTTAGTTAGATTGTAAGACAACTGGAGAATATATATTGGTGGTATATAACCACTATATGTTACTGAATTACATTCACATCTTTTATATACAAATTGAGTTGATTGTAACGATAATATATGAAAGCTGAAAATAACACTGACTATTTCATCGAAGTAAATGATAAAGCTATAAGCGTAATGGATAAATAATTATTGTTAATGAAAACAAGTCAAGTCATAAATTAAAACAAACGGTATCATAAAATTAAATAAAACGTACACTAATTAATAAATTCGAAATATATTTTGTAAATAATTAAAATTATTATTATAGTGATATAGTTCGGTGGCCTTGTGAAACGTTTGTGTCATTTATTTATTTAAACACATAAACAATGGTACAAGGAGGCACCAAATAGATATGCGCCACATAAATTATTCGATTTGTGTGAGAGGTGAGATACTGTCCGGCTGCCCAAACCGAAACAAGTGGTTTCCTTTGGGGGTTATACTCGGAGCCTTCAACTTAAAGGTCTAATCCAAAAGGCAGTGGAATAACGTCAGGAGATGCAGTCATCATGTTACCAAATGTGCATTGAATGTCAAAAATCATCCTGTTATATTGGTGTTTTAATTACACTATTTAAGCATTTCAATAAAATGCTTCTAGAAAATGTTTATAACTTATCATGAATCTGATGATTAAAAAACTAAAGAAGTACCACCATGGTGGTTTGTACATTTTCCTCATGATCGTCTGTCCTCTGGAGAAATGAAAGATGGTTACTAGAGAATTCATGCGTCAAATATATTTATCGATGGAAAAAGATATGATCGGAGCATAAATTATGGATAAACATATAAAAATGGTAGTAAATGAATGTTCAAAAAATTTTGACTCATACTTTTCGAATACTCACAATTCAAATATTCATAAAATGAAAAATTTGCTGTCATGTTGTATATTTTGTACTGAGAATGCTTTACTGTAGTTGAACATTTGGAATGAAATAAAACGAGCAGTTTTATTATCATTATCATGAGCATAGCTGTAGCTCCGGGTCATTTTAAAACATTCAACAAACACTTACTGAAGCAGAAAATGAGTATGAAAGCTTTTTTTAAAATTCTGTACAATGCGACTAACCTTCCGCAGTCCATACTAGGAATTCACCAAAAGGAGTTAGATTGACACATTCCATATGATGCGATTGTGAATCTGATTTGAACGGTTGATTTGACTAAGTTGTTTTTTACACAAAGAGAAAACAAATTATATGACTTGGTGTTATTTAATGTGTTAAAACCTTACAAAGTTGAGTCTAAGTAACTGAGTTATATTGAATTATATTATCCGTTGAAGAAGTGTTAGAAACTAAAATGCACTGAACACAACTGTTACATTCTAGTTTGATACAATGTACAACCACTGCGTATACCTAGAACCCAACACAAGATTCAAATCAGGATGTCTAAATCTCATGGCATACATGTTGTTTACAATGCTTCCCTTTGTAAAGTTAAGTGAACCAGTGAGTAAAGTTCGTTCGTAACTAATAACAGTCTCATCCTTGATATTTGAACAATACTGTACACCGGATCTGCCTAGTGTTTCGGAAATCTACCTTGAAGTTAATCACTAGGGAGGGTTATTTGATTATTTAACTTAACAAATTCATAGAACCTAAACCAATGAAAAAATAGTTTTAGTCAGACTGACAAACAACAGAATCGTAATTTCAGATTATATTCCCACTGAATTGGATCAATACCCATAAACCACTTACCAACACAAGGTCAGTTATGTGAGGAACAATGATTGTTTACTCGATTACATTTAAACATTGATCTGACCAGGTGAAGAAATACCTTTGGCTATGTACTGAACAAAATATATGCTAAACAGTGTTATGCTTTGTAGAGATATCATCTTATGAAATCATGCACATTCAATTTTTTTAATTATTCAGTACGGAGTATGAATGTAATGTTTTTTTGCATTCAAGAAAAGCAAACTGTAATCATAATTAATTTTAGCACTATTGATCTGACAGTCAAATAATTTACCGACCAACTATGAATATATATACATAAAATAAATCAATAAGTAAACAAAATTATTAGTTTGTCTGTAAAAATGGACTATACCAACATAGATTGATCAATCTTTTATAAAAAGTATGCCAGCTACATATCAAGAATGCCACTTGATCAGTATCGATAAGCAAATCTGTATCTTAATGGGATTGTCCTGATAGCACCTTTGATCACAAGTTATACAAATGCATACGGTGGATACTACAGTTCAATGTTATAGACTGATCACCTTTTCGTTTTTCTCACCCTATCCCAGTGTCTTTAGATGGTTATACCATGAGCCTAGTGTTGATGTTCACACAGAGACTCAAGCACAATACCTTTCACTACAAATACTAATGTATTATATACTGATCTACTGTGTCTAGATAGAAAATAACTTGGTTCGACTGCTATCACCGATCCAATTTTACTGAAATTTGTATGTTACTTATTTTTAAACATAATCATACGATAACTAAGTATATCGTTAATAACTAAATACATACAAGACAAGAAACAAGATCTGAAAACAGAATCAATTACTAAATAGAAAACCTTTAACATGTTATACATTTATTTCAAATACTAGATTTATAAAGATATCCTAGGGTGTACATAAGATATTTAAGCGTGATACATATTTGTAAGGTTTTGGCTCTTACTAAGCACTATGATACTGAAGATTATTTCTCGTCGAGTAAAAAGGCAATGAAAATACAAGTTCTGCATTCAGATAAAAAGTAGAATATATTCACAAAAGTAAACATTTATTCAGTTATTGATAGTTTTACAAAAAATCATTGAGGCGAAAAACAGAAGTGCAAATAAAGTTACTTAACAACATCAATACAGTTGGTGCATATCGTTTATGACCAAGTATTGACTTCATATTTTTAGATAAACTGAACATTGAGTGTACCATTTATGACAATAAAATAATAGATGATTTTAATATCCATATTAGTCGGAAATTGAATTAATGACGTTTTGCAACTTAGTGTAGGTCACTTCTTCAGAGAATATACAAATCAATAACCAGATAAATTTAACACAAGTTTACAAAGTACAGAGAAAAAAGCAGAATATTTAATGCAATCAAAATAGATCTAGTCATGTTATCTAGATCAAGTTCATTCTGTGTTCAGTTTTATTTACAGGCCATAAATCATATCTATAAAATAACAACCAATCAAATAGAATTCGGGTTTTCAAGAGGTCAAACATTTAAACTACACAAAATAAACTACAAAAGTGAGGCCAAACGTTTTAAAAATCTTATTTTTTTACATCAACTATTTGATTATAATCTTATATTAATAAATTGGAATATAAGACACCTGTCGATACAATAGTATCCAAGTAGCTTATTGTTGAGAAGAAATGATATATCAGAAATCCGGTCTCAAGTTCAACTCTGATCTAACACATAATTAGTTTAGCCAGTTAAACTGAAAGTATGCCATTCACACTTACTGTTGAAGATCAGTTAACTAGTGATATCCCTTCCCTCCTTAGAAATTATTTTGAACATTTAATTGAAAACTTTAAGAACCTAACACTACTTATTCCTGGTAGATTTAGCAGTCTATCTTTTCTGTGTACCTATATATATCACCACAGTATGAGTAAGTATGGTAGGTACTTTGTATCCTCGAGGTGTTAAGTATTTTTCAGGGCTAACAGTAATCTGAGGCTGCAATCACTGTTGGAAATATACCGTTAGAAGCCTGAAAGTTCATGAATTTGTGTAGTTGCGTGAGTGCTGGTGATCTGACTAATGAAATCAGTATACAAATAGCGGAAGTCAGAGTGCCTTGTACAAATATAGCTTTCATGATGCTATTCTAGCTGTAAAGGTTTGGGTTTACAACGTATCGGTGAGAGTGAATCTATACTGTGCTCTTGAAACCTAACCTCTCCAATTTGAAGATCTCAAGCGGCTCTCTGCGTTTAATTAGAGTGATCCCCAAAAGCAAGAGACGGTTAATCTATGACATGGCGTCATGGTATGGAAATATTGCGATATGACTCTCTGGTCGGAGTTCAGATGATGCAACACAGTAAATCAAGACGTTACCACACACGGCTCAAAAAAGAACCAATAGTGACGCTATTTTAGTCTTCAAAAATGTGTGGGGAACTCCTTTAAACGAAAGAATTCTAAATTGTATCATTTATATTTTTAACTAAACTGTCTATCCCATTACACACTGCTCTTGTAAATTATTTTGTTTATGAACTGTTTTCTTCTCTTCTAAAGTCCTCCGTTTTCCTCACAAGGTTATTCTTGCTTTATGTGGCGCATTACATTTCTTTGGTGCTATGCTGTAACCAGATTTTTATGCGCTCGCATAAATGACCAAATTAAGTGTTGCACTTCGTAAGATTATGAATGAACTCACAAATAGTACAATCTACCAGGAGTTAATACCTTAAAAACAATCAGTAAAATATTCTGATTACTCTACAATAAGGTGACGTATATCACGTTTTTTTTAAAAAAAATTAACACATGTACCATTATGCAACAAATAGCATATGTAATCTATCAAATTAGATTCTATACAAAAACTAACGAGTTATATCATTATATAATCTTAAATTTGACTGCAGGGATACTATCCAGTCATGAAACAATTTGGCCACACAAACGAGCGTTGATTAAGTGAATAAAATGCTAGCGTTACATAGTCTAACCTCCCTACATCTACTTTAGCATGGGCAGCTAAATGGCAGTACCAACGTTCACACAAAAACAGAATGTGACTCACAGCCGAATACTAAAACCTGTAAGTAGTGAGTAACATAGGGAAATCACACACATAGACAAACATTACCAAACAAATTTTAGAACAAGAAGCATTCAATCAATTCTATCTACATACATAAACAGTACAAAATTCCTATTTAAGTGTCAAAAAAGACCTAACACACTTTCCGAAGAAAGTATATATTTATACCAGGAAAGAAAATAATAGAAATCTGTTAGCATATATACAATATGACATATGAATAGACTACATTTTGAAGACAAAACGCTGTGAAATGAATAGATAAAATGGTGAAGATAAAAAGAAATACTAGAGCGTATGCAAATATGAACAATATTCACAAGGGATAATGTCCGTTTTCTTCTAAAACAAAAGATAATTTTTATGAATAAAAATTATTGGACTGTATTAAGCGTAAGTCTAAAGGTGGTGGTTGTATGTTATAACCTCCTTCTCCACCGACTCCTCCAGTTAAGGTTGTTTCTATTGTCGTCGTTAGTGTATCTGATGGAATATAACAGTTATTCATTGATGAGATATGTGTATCTGGTATTTTCAGTTCACTACTGATCACGGATTTGTTAGTAGTATCATTGTGGCTAGTTGTAGTAAAAGAAGTTAACGTTTCGTTTGAACGATAAATAGCATTTTCAGGGTAAATTATAACTTCAGGGAATTCCGTTTCGCATTCTTCATCATTATTAGTAAGTAAGAGGTCGGTAAAACTGAAACCTGGTTCAGGATCCCATATTGTATGTGTTGTAAAGAATGTATTATCGGTACATTCATTTGACGATTCAAAAAACAATGCTGTACAATGTTGTGAGGAACTCAAATCAATTGGATTTACAGTTATTATATCTACAGAAGGATCAAGTGATAAATCTATCGCTTCAGTAGCCCCTGTCAATGTAAAATAATGTGTATCAGTAAGATCAAGACCAGAATTTGAATAAAATAAATTTTTAGATGAAAGACCATTGTCAATAATTCGATTAGTTTCTGTAAAATATTGTGGTACAATGCTGTTAGATGAGTTCACTGTTGATAAAGGTAGAGTTAATGAATCAACTCTTCCTAATTCTGACGAAGATACAGGGGTATATGTCTACAAAAAAGGGAGAGTAAAACGGAAAAAAGAGAATGACACATTTTAATATCTAAGGAAAAAGTATAATCAACAATGAGTATAATACGAGATCTATCAATCTTTCATTTATTTTCTTATTACTATAAAAGTTAAACATCTCTAGACATATATAGAAAGATCCGATCGATATTTTCTTCCAAGTTATCCAAACGAGCTGTGAACTAACTCATCTGCAAACAGTGCTTACAATAATTGACTACTGACCAATAGTAATAATGCAATTATTCAATATATTTTTAGTACAGTATAGAAATCGCAGCATAGAATACGCAACACATGAACAACAATATATATATTGTTGTTCATGTGTTGCGTATTCTATGCTGCGATTTCTGTACTGTAATTGTTAAATTATCCAAAATTAAATGACACATAATCTATACATCAATCAATTGACATGTTTAGGAGTGTAAGGTTTTGATTAGGACAGCTGCTATAATCTAGTCATCGCATAGTGTGTGCTAAATACAGTGTTGTAGAGCTCCTGTACTTTTTTGCGTGCCTGTATTTTAATGTAACTGAGTCTAGTTTCTCCGGAGAATATGCAACGAAAAGATGTGAACGAAATGGATGGTTTGTAATTGATAAAATATTACATCTTAACTGTTTGCAAGATTTCAAATGTTTGTCCACAACCGTATCCATGATGAAATTAATAGATTCACCACAAACCATACTAACTGCCTTCATTATTACAGAACACCGAATACATAGTAACCAATCCCATGCTTGCCTGGACTTTATGGCTAACTGAATCTTGTCGATCAAGTTGTGTTGCGACAACTAGCTGATCTGAATCGATAGGAAATCATCCGTTGTCGCAATAGCACCAGCTCCCTTAAGGCTGTACATACGCCTTGATGATGAGTGGGAATTATAATGAAACCTAGGTTCAGAGATTCATATCGATTTGATATGACCAACCAAAAGCAAATAGGATTGTTTTAACAGTGAAAAATAGAAAAAAGAACTATTTCCATAAACTATGAAAATCAGTATACAGGTAAACATTCATGTATGTGATGCATAGTGATACTATCCAGATGACTAAACAAAAGTAAATTTTTTTGCCTATTCTTTCTATTTTAAAGCCATAGTGATAATAGTTGGAGGGCAATTCAAACCAATAACATTTAAATACTGAATTCTTTAACCAATAAATCACTTTCATATAACTTAAGTATGATTACATTCTTTTTTCTTGAAACAGCACAAAAGATACATTACATATAAAATAGTTGCAACTAATTATAATGTAAACTTCTTTGTTACTGTATAGACTAGATATTATTCTTATTTTTCACAAGAAATCTCAATAATCGACATATACACAGAAAAAACAATAAGAATGACAGACAACTTTAGGTTTTATTATTTCCACTTAGAAAGACTACATTGATTGTTATTTTTCGAAGCCATAGACAGATTTATGTGCTAAGCTTTAAGTCGATATAAGAAATAATTTTTGTAACAAAATTAAATTCCATATTTCTAAGCACTGTAATGTCTCTATAGACACAGAACTCACATAATTTCAACGATGATATACCCATTTGCATCACTTATTGCTTCGTTTTGTAACATGTTATTTTGTTCTGTTTTCCAAAGTCAGCAACAGCAAACTGTAAATACAGGTTGCTGTGAAACAACATTGCACTTGGTGAAAATAATTGGAACTCATTTGCAAAAAATAATACCAAACGTTCCCTACGTAATACCTCTGTGACCAAACAACAGGTGAAGAGTAGTTGTCGTTTGTTGGTTGACATCCACCGATTCCCTGTAATTTTTATCTCTCAGTAATTATCTCACAACTGTAGAACACAATAGAGTCACACGGGTGGTACAAGAATGAGTTACAATACTAACTCGTTATTCATATAAAATCAGGAAAAAGTGACATATTAACCCGTAACGCAATCGTCGCAAGTCGAGATGATTGAACCACAAATTCACTATGCAAGATGGTAGCAATAATTTCCAAGTTACCATAAAAGATGTTATGTCCTATATGAAGAATCTTTTACTTAATTAAAACTTCATCACTTTTCTAACAACCTTTAGGCACTTACATTTTTTAGAACTGATCGCTGATTGATGTATTGCCAAATCTGACTTACTTATCAACAATAAGGATCATAACTAAAGATGGATGGTGGCTGGCAGTGGAATCCAGGACGTGCGTCTCATCCTATTTGGGACTCTTCACTTGGATGTACTTGCATCTCAGAGCTGATGTTAATTCTGGCACTCGGACCCAGTACCGTTCACTTCAAACGCCATCGCGTTATCCACTACGCGACTGAGTCCTGGGAGCCACTACCTTGCGCAATAGGGTGGAGTTTTAATTCATTTTTTTATTGTCTGAATTTTCACATTGATGTTTAGGATCAAAATTGATCAGACTTATTGGAATATTTGCATCCTGTTCTCTGAGCTCAGAGAACAAAACTCCACCAAAATCATCCACCGGAGCTACAAATCTTCTCCACCATATTTGCATCCTGTGCGGATTGTCTCGATATTGTTATAAGTCGCAAGCATTATAAGTAAAGATGAATGGTGGCTAGCAGTGGAATCTAGGACGCAACTTAAGGCAATATCGATGCAATCCACATAGGATGCATATATGCCAATAAGACGAATCAACTGAAGTCCTCAACATCAATAGGAAGATCCAAACAAACAGCACAAAGTGAATTAAAAGATTATAGCCACTCAAACTGCATAATTTTAAACTCTAATGTATGATGAGTGAAATCGAAAGCTCTCATGAAATAAAACGGTTTAATGGTAAATCGTATGAACATTTCAAACTGTTACCTGATAAGTAGAAAAGTATTTGTTTTTTAATGGGTATTTTTCAAAAACTAAAATCTAACTACTGATAAAAGTTGTCAGTAATAAGTTAATATTAGGCAAGATTTGATTTGGCAGTTTTGAAGAAAGAATATCGTTAGAAGAATATAATTGTAATTGTTTGGTTGATTATATGTCATCGAAAATGAAGTTTACTACTTCTCCAAGAAAAAACAACAAACTTTTTATTGAAATTTTCATTTCAATACTCACTTTATCGGAATAAACTTGTAGGCATAAAGCTGAATTACATAAATCCACAGCAACATCGCTATCATATTCATTTCTTAATGTAGTAGTAGCAGTACTAGTGGTAGTGGTTGATGTCATTGAAATCACCGTCATCATTGTTGAAGATACAACAGAATCTGACGTTAATAATAAATGATACCTAGGTGTAGTAACAATATTTGTTGAAATATTTGATTCCGTGATAACATTATTATTATTATTATTATTATTATTATTATTATTATTATTATTATTATTATTATTATTATTATTATTAAAAGAAATCATAACATTAGTAGTAACAGGTATCTCTGATGATGTCATAGACGTTGTTAAAACATTATATGGAGTAATAATCATAGGACAAACTGATTCACTTGTAAGCATTAATGATTTAGATTCTGGAGTGAATGAATTATCAAATGACAAATGAGATGAATCAACTGTGTCTATATCAGTGGTTGAATTAGCGAGTACAAGACTTATAGGTTCTTCACATGGAAGAGTTTTCTGTAATGCAAAACATAAACAAATAAATTATATGTTAAATTGATTCAGAATGGAAAAAATTAAAAAAAGTTCCATACAACTTCAGAAATAATATTAATACAACGAGATGTATAATTGTAGCAAGATGCTACTGGGTCAACAACTCCCCCTTCTACCTGACAACAACTTCATACAAACATTCCGTCAAGCAATAAAAACTACTAACTCAGCCAAAAAATATAACTGTAGAGTAAATTAAATCAATAAGGATGGTGGAATTAGTACAACTTGTTTGCAAAATTTATTACATATCTCAAAAGAAGCTGAGAATAGGATAAAGACATAAATTTTATGAAAGTAAACATCAACTGCATTAATTAGGTGAACCAGGTGATAAATGTAAGAATTATAGATCTACTTACAATTTTCACTAGTAACTTATGCTGATTAAGGATCACATAAAAAAAATCGAATATGAGAAATTACACAATGGCATATTAGAAATTGAAGTTGCCTAGACAATCGAAAATTGACAAGTACTTTCTCTTTGTCTATGTATAAGGCAAGTTTAGACTTAAGGAGAGATTTATTCTGATAAAATACAACAAATCTGAATTCATACTCATTTTGTGATAAGTTTTAACAATTCATATATGTCAGTATTACGTTAGATGTTAAATAATTTAATGAAATGATGAATAACTGTGGGATTGTAAAAATCCATTTTTATAATTACAGTCTTAATGTTCAAACTGTTCCATAACCATTCTATGAGAGATATGCACTACTTTCCATGATTTATTCATGCCACATTCTCAATATTTCTATATTTAATAGATAGATACTTTATTATTTCAGTATTAAGTTTACAAATTTCAACATAATTTTATGAACAGGAAAAATGTAATGTTACGTGTGTTCGGGCACAGAAACGATAATGCAATTGGTGTCACCATCTTGAAACACCGACTTCGGTGGCTTGGACATGTTCTATGAATGTCGTCCCAGAGAATTCCACGCCGTGCATCATTTGCCGACTCTGGGACTGGTTGGAGAAAGCGGAGAGGTGGTCAGTGTATGACATGGTGTCGTGGTACGAAAGAAAGCTGCAAAGGACTGGCTTGTGTTGGTCCTTCACGTCTCCCTGGCTGGGGTCCGAGAGATGGTGCTACACAGTGGCTAGAGACGTAATCAGATATGGCTCAGGATAGAGGTCAGTGGTGGTCCTGCTGTAACCTTCTTTAACTTTCTCCATAAAACGTGGTTACTTCTTCCTTAACTGAAAGATCTCTTCTGATTGTACGTTTCTGTTTCTCCATTATTTTTATTACACTAATCTGTTCGTTATTTTTCTTTCTTTTTCTTTTACGCTCCTTACCTTTTTTTTCCTTCTTCTCTTCAAAATCTCATTGTTTTGTGTGGCGCATATATATTTGGTGCCCTCTTGTACCAATATTTATGTGTTCAAATAAATAATAATAAACAATGTTACGTACAACTTAAATAAAATTATGTAAACCAAGTTGTTGTTTGTTTTTTGCTTTTGGTAAAACTAACCGAAATGTGAAAAACAAGTTAAATTTGCAAATTAATTTTAAACATACAGATAATTTTGATTTAGACATAACAGATTCATTGGTAGAATCATTATTAGTTATAGATTTTTCATCTTTCAAGTGTGCATGATAAGAGCGCATATGTTTTCTAAGTGAACTTGGATCTGTATACGCTCTATGATCATTACATATTTGACAGATATATGGTCTTGGACGAGATTGATTAATTTTATCTTCGATTTGTAAAGCAGATAAACCAGAAGAATCCCAATCATTATAAACATCTTTATACAAACATTGTTTATCCTGTTCAGATAAATATTTATCTTCAAAATGATGCTTCTTCATACACCTGGATCTTTCTGATGTTCTGGAGTACGCTTGATGACAAATTGAACACATATATGGTTTTAAACCTAAGAGAATAAAAGTAGACATTCATTAAATACTGCTAAACCGAAATATTTAGAAGATAATTTTCACGACAAACAAATACTACCCAGGGAAGTATTATAATTTTTATCCAATATACGAAAAATCTGGAGCATCAGGGTACTAAAAATGTATGCGCTACAAAGATAATGATATAAGATTATAAAAAAATATGAAGCTGAAAGGAAACACAACAAAAATAATAAGTGAACAAGAACCATATTATAATAGGAGATAAAGTTCAGTCAAAAATACAATCAAAGTAGGTTTATTTCAATTAGGGGAGTTTCCCTTAATCATGTATAATGTAAAAGAAAGCCACAGCAGAATTACTGCCAGCTTCCATTCAGAGCTGTATCTGATAAAGTCACAAACCACTGAGTCACATCATCACTAGGATCGTAACTTGAGAGTCGTGATGGGTCGATAGATCCTAGCCCTATTCTATCCCCCATACAACGGCTACATGACATAAACTGACCTCACGATAGTTTCCCAACCAGTCCTAACATCAGTAGTCAACGTACGATGTAGGATCGTCCAGTACAACATTCATGAAGCATATCTAAACCACCGAAACCAATGTTTCAGGATGCCGAATCTCTGTATTACTGACAAGGTATTAAGACTAGATGTCGGCGATCCTTCGGAGACAATAATGACAGAATACAGAGAGTCAACGAACATCCTCCGCTAAGGGTAGCTAGGCTTTACAGGCATATATCACAGCTGCTCTCATCAACACTTCATAAGCCCAACCTTTTCAACCAGATTAAAATCACATTAGTGCATTAAAAGTCATAAGAAAAAGGTGCGTACTGTTGAACAGTTTCAAATTTGAACGAACTATCAGTCCAATGTTTCTTGATTTATAATACACCTAGGGTATAAGCCAAACCACTACTAAATCTAACAATCATCAATCAACCAAATCTGTTTGGCCCTTTCTTTCTGATTCCCTTATCGTTTTTGATTCAAGGTATAAGCAGCCTATGCAGAAATGAGAGTATACACTCAGAGCAATATAAGATTGGGGTAATTAATTAAGTTACATAATAGTACAATTAATCTAGACTGGATGACAATAAAATATGCAGTTATAACAACCAAAATGATCATTTCCTTACAGAATCGACCCACAAATTTCAAAATAAATTTCAGAGATAAGGATTACTGGTAAGCAGAATGATTAGATGAACATATATTAGGGGATTTAAGCTAGTAACTATGTACAAAATAATTAATCGGTGACCAGACCAAGTTAATTTTTCTCCAAAGCAAAGTGATTGTGTATGCGCAAATATTGCATATACATCAATACAGAAAGGAGGAGAGTAATAATATGTGTACAAATAAATAATTACCTGAATGTACATTTGTATGCCTTTTAAGATTTTCTTTCGAACTAAAGCGTTTTCCACACTGTGAACACGATAGATTCAGATGATTTTTATGTAAAAGTAAATGACGTTTCAAATGAGTCCTTGAATAGATAAAGAATGAATGAAATTCACTGTCAAAATTCGGAATTTCTTGATTAATATAGAGGTTTATGGAAATTTATTTAAATTTGAGTAAAGTTTCTACCAGACTAACTAATAAATGATTATATGCTCATCAGTGACTGTTTTTGTAACACAAATTTCTCGAACACCTAAAGAGGAGCTAGGAATGGTATAGTCGATGTTATTGGAAGTGAAATAGTTATACAACAATAACACTAAACAGTGATCAGAATAAATTAACCAAAAGTAAGTAGCTGAACTCCCACTCAATAGCTTGAATGTATTATCATGAAATCTGACGGTTTTTCTGTCCAATCTCATGAAGAGTAGATTGTGCATACATTTGAGGAATCCCTAGAAGAGTGAAATAGCTTTCGAATGTTCAATTGTTTCTAACCGTACTTTGTACAGTATCAGTTTATGATAAAAATTATTTTATCTATCATTAGAATAAAATGTCACAAAGTATAAGTAATGATAAATTCGACCCTTAAGATTAAATGTGGGCTAAACCGACATAAGAATTTCACAAAGTTAAGGTGAAAGAATGTAACAAGTATTAAATGTCTGAACTGTATGTTTTTGTAGATAGATATAAATATTTTCAACAATTAAATCAGTGAGATACTAGATGAACTAACTCAACTTTCCAAAAATAAATAAAAGCCAGTCTCAATGGTTAGATAGATGAATTTTTGACAGAGGTAAACAATAGCTATTTTCTATATTTTCTATACCTGTTTATCTAATTAAAAATAAGCTTATAACGGAAGACATTATAAAAATACTTATTAATAGATGACATATTCCGTAATTAGCACTCTTCTTTACAGAATCCGGCCGTATTTCAGATTTACGTAGTATCCTGTTCTCACAGTTGAGTGGTATAATTGAGAACTTTATTTGTCGTCCTGGAAATTATCAAAATTGAAAACACTTTTTCTTCAATTCAAAATGTGGTGAGTGTAACACACTTGTATCCGACTATAACATGGACCGATTCGAACCAGAAATCATATAAACTTGGTTTTAAAATAAAAATATTGAGTAAAAAATATTTGACAGCTTAGTGATAATATTATATACGTTCAACCTAAAAGTGATTATGGAAAACCAAAGATTATTTGCAACTTATGTGCAAAGTGAACTTATTAAACCACTGACTACAGGACTATACATAAGTTATACATAAGTTTAAGTGTTTAACTTTTATTTTGTTAATATTAAGGGCTGAAGAGATGTCATATAGAGTTTTAGGTGGGTATCTTAACACTGCTTAAATATGCAAATTTTGTAATATTTTGCTGTAGACCATGGAACTGACTTCGTTCCATCTGAGACTCATCAATAACATAATTCTAGGGCAGAATGATGTCCCACTAATATTTTATGATGATCATCATCGTTTTTAATGTCAACATGAACTGATCGATCTAGTCCCGAATATCCTCAATAAGAAAGCGCAGACCATTATGAATAAACACGTTGGTAACCATTACGATTCAGAACCGTAGACAATAATACCCTGTTGTTTGAAGCGATGTATATAGAGTTATGGTATTATAAAGAACACATATATTAGGATATCGAAATGTGCAGATAACAAGTATCTGAATAGAACTAAACATCAAGTCCTGGATCCGACAGAGAGCTCTTATACAGAACATTATGGACCATTTATAGCTATATAGTGATGTCATTGATGCAAATAACAATGAAATCGATAGTGGTAGGGAGAATACCATCGATTAAAAGCTGTACAGGGTTTATACATTTTCTAAAAAACAATTTGACAGTCATAAATTCCCAGAAGAGGATTATTTAATATATACAAATAGTTACATTTGTTTAAAAGGCTGCTTTAGAAGGAATCGCGGACATTGTGGCCAATTGCAGTAAAGTTTATTCTCAGCACGTCTAGATCTTGATTGCTTTTGATGCTTCCGACCAACCGATTTCACTGACTTACCAACATAGGAGGAACAAGGACCAGTACGGTTTTGTCGCTGTGAGGCATTAGGAGAGAAACGAATAAAGCAATATGCATGATCAATATTCATTTTATGAAACGTTCATCAGTATATCACGCATAAAATTCAGTTACATTAATTCTCATTCAGTAATTTCTCAGAAATAAATAATAATCCACTAAGGTGAATTGTGAAGGGATTAGAACAGGATGCCTATAGTTTTCCATAGAAAATAATAACACTAGGGAACCACTGAAAACTAAGGAGGACTGAACAGCAATTTACGTCTTAGATTGGAAATCACTAAATACACTCAAATGATCATAAATATATTGTAATGGTAGCGAAATATGCAACTCCTGGGATCGATTTTACATGGGGTGGATATGCGATATTAAAGTCTCCAACTAGAAAGATACCGCTGTCTAGTGTTTCCTGGTTTTCAATAGTTTTTTTTACATGATATGAATTTAAAACGGAAGTCAGTTTCAAGCTAAACAATAATCTTCAAAATGTATTTGTATAAACAAGGTCTATCATTTAAGTATTAAATGAAAGATAAAATTACATTCACTTATTTATAATTACTGATAGGATTTGAACTTAAGGACTGGAAAAATACGTTCGTGAGATTGTTTAACCTATAACTAAACTGAGAAGTAAAGGGTTAAGATGATGTGTTCATGTAAGACGTTGTTTCTGGTTCATTTTTAAATAAATTTGAATAAGACATTTGATATCCTTTCAACTTTTATCTAAAAATTAACTGTATCATATCTAAAACTAGTAATAAATAAAAACCATATTTATATAAACTTGATTAACAGTTATATCATTTTAAACGAAGAGGAAAATCGTACATGATGGCTAAATGTAGCAATTGGAGGTAAACATGCTTCTGAATCTTCCTGAATAGCCGGTAATTTTTGGGATTCATTTTTTAATACGAATTGTTTACGACATGATAAATCCTGAGGAAGCCCAGGCGAAGCTGTGTAAATATCCCTTCATAGAGAAAGATAAAATATAGAATTACGTTAGTATAATTTTTAGTTAATGATGTCAGCTTTATTTGAAAAGAAATTCAGTTGAGTGTATATCCGATATCACACATTCCAAGAAAGCTATTGATCAGATAAAAGATTACATGATTATATAAAAAGAATTTCTTGATGGGATATTTCAAATGTAAATAAAATTGCTTAAATAAAAATAATGCGGATGTTACGACTAAAAAGTAATTTGTACGTTAATGAGGGTGTAAAAATGTAATATTTATAGTGTGAAAGAGTAGAATTGAATTTCAATGTAGGTTGATGGCGTGAGATGTGGTTTGGTTACACTAAATATTTTCTCTTTGTTCCCCTGAGATATTTAAACTTGCGTTAATTTAATACGTTTAGTTATTCATTCGTCTTGAAAATCTTACTTAAAATAAGTCGTAAAACTTCAGGAACTTAAATTTTTATTTATTGTGACATTAAGAGCATATCACTATTTTTATTACTAACAATCTACCCAATGATCAAATTACTTTAAAGTACCACATTAAACCTCTGTAATGATAATTATGATATCTTGTATATTGTGCGATTCCTAAGCATAGTCACCACTTTAAAACTTTAGTTCCTGTCCTCACAAAAGATTGGCCAAGGGTTACTGAAAGTGAAATAGAAAAGTTAGTCTTTATTTGATATTTAAAACTGATATCTCAGAACAAATCATTGAACGATATTGAGTAGTAAAGGATTCGCAAGTATTGTAAATTAATGTGAAGTTATGTAACCACCGACGGAAATTCAGTTATTCGCTTGATGGAAAATATGTCTTCGAAACCTAGGGGATTCTCGATGTTTATTTAAGTAGATTAATCCAAGTTAAATATAGAGTTAGAATAATCAAAGTACGGACAGTAAAACCCTTACAATACCGCATGGAATTATATATATATATATATATATATATATATATATATGCAAAAAAAAGGTACAACTGATCAAATGCATATATTGTTCATCGAAATTGAAATTACCTCATGTTCAAGATTAAGTAGATCCTGGAGATCGAAGATCCAGATCGTTTACATCAGTATGATAGTTCGGTTTAAATAATTCACATTATAACTAAATTCTCTCTATTGTTTGAAGGCGCAATAAAATAAGACGTAATTAAGAGTGTGAGAATAGAATTCATCTGGAGATTAGATTAGGCCTTTCTCCTGAAATATTTGATGTACCATCTATTTTTATTGGTAAATAGTTATAATAAAATTTATAAGGAAACTAAAATGACCTCACTGACCATAAAAGAATCTAGACACATAATATATGCGGGATATGTACTTTGTATTTTAGACATTAAACGGACTTCGTTTTCACTTAATGGCTGAGTACAAAAGTTTGAAGCACTTAGAACTCGATTGTGAGGTAATAAACTCACATCTGGCTTCATCTACTGATTTGCCGTCTTCAGGTGAAGTCCTATTATGACTTCAACGTTGATTTTTTAGATACACACAATAGGTGCTACAAAATCGCCGATAATTGTATTCTAGTAACCTCCTTATGGTAAAGTGACACTTTCTTCGTTATAAAACGAAATTCGACCAGCTTTTTCGGGATCTCAATTTTAGAGAAGTCAAGAACAGAAAAACCACTGAATATATTTTGATGACTACATAAATCAGAATGGTTGCGAAATTACCGCAAAAATTATTCACATCTTTAACTTTCAACTAAGATAAGTGATGAAAGAATATATAATCGTGGAAAGTCCATTCCACATATTTATGAAATCTCTAATCACTGACTGCGTGTAACCAGCAGTCCCATCAATCAGTATCATTTATATGGCTAAATTTACCCGATGAATCGAAAATCTGGCCATTATTCCCAATCACAGATGCTGTACCATTCTTAATGACCTCTAACGACGATAGCATTTAAAACCAATCCTTAAAAGTAATTTCGAACTATCTCAGCTGCTAACGTTAGACAGAATATTCAATGAAGGCTTTCGACATACATCAGTCCTGTGTAACGTACCTTAGTATGTCTTGGCAAACTACGAACTGTTGAGCTGAGTTTAAAAGAGTACTGTCAAAGCTATGTAAAATGCGGAACAGGCTTTTACTAATAACTATCTGCTATCTTGCCTGAAATTGAAACACTGGCAAACTGCATTTTTTTTATTTGCACCAGCTGAGGTGAAGAAATATGTAGACAATCATACGAAATCCGAAGATGTTTAGGGACCAGTGGAATTTTGTGATGAATACGGTTTTATGGTAGGTAGATGCAAGAAAACGAATTTCAGCAACAATTAGGTTTTTATACTGTCACTGCCAGCACCGAAAAAACTAGAACTGTGGGACTTTTTAGAAAAAAATACTTGAAACGTTTTTCAGTTCATGAACCCGTATTTAGAAATAGTATGTTCAGATCAATACTCTAGACAGATAACCGCTGCCTTAATGTGGTGGCCGAGGTTATATACCACCGGGAATTAATTGCGCTATATTGATATAGATAGCCATTTATCGAAGTCTTAATGCCTGAAGATGGTTTGAAAAGAACTTGTACCATAGCTAGCTTCTCTGTTGATGTGCATAATCAGACCCTAAGAACCACACTTTCAGGTTTTCCACTAACAGTAAGGTTGTCTGGGGACTAAAAGCAATTATTTGAGTACATATGTACTTATCTGGTTTTATAAATCCATGATTTCTGTTATTTTTTCCTATTTTCTATCTATGACTAATAAGAAAATTGACGTCATTAGTTTACTAAAATTTATCTTCACATATAATCTTCAAAAACGATGCAAGGTGGAATTCCAGAAACCGCGAAAAAGAATGGAATGCTAAAATTCTGTCAGGCGCACTGAACTTTATTAAATTATCCTGGAAACAAACATAAAACCAATGATCCTATTTACCCAATCTTTAAGTGACACAACTGATTATTTGGACTTTTCGGACTGCTCATGTATGTGCCTAAGCAGCAACGTTTAACTGAATTGCCTCTGGAAAAAGTACGTTACTCTTGAGGAGAGTAGCTTGAAATATTAAAAGAACAGAAAATTTTAATTTCTAAACGACTCAATAGGGCACTGAACCAACACTTTGAGTGGAGCATTAACATTATGTCACTATTACTATCATAAAAGCTTTGAAAGAATTGGACTAAAAAAGGCAAATGTTCTGAAGGTTCGTCTCTAGACGCTTTAAACGATAGTTATTAAATTAAAATATAAATCAGCCGGGAACTTGACCGATGTGTACGAGCCTATGTAAGAATACAATAACTAGAGTGGGTCTTAGGCATCCCATCTTTAACATGTGTTGTAGGTTGGAAACTCACTCAATCTACTATATTTTCATCGGATGAAAAATGCCACACATTTTCAGCGGATTGACCTAATACCTACCTACCTACGTGTGGAAATTAGAGACAACATGAATATCACTTATGATCATTCTACTGTTTGAGAAATGACGGAAATAGTAGTAACTGAAAATTAACTAGTGAAGCTTGGTTCTCAAGATAGTGGAGATGGTAAAAAAACAACCAAAGAAAATCAGTAAGTCAGAACACCAAATTAAGGTTTTTTTAATTAGTTATGACAGATTCCGTGGGCGCCATTGAACTAAACCGTCAGCGAGATTTTATATCAAAGATTGCCCCCAAATGCCATATTATGGCCAAGAGTAGAGAGTCTGCTCTCCCTCTCGAAATACTCTCACATGGCCACGCGTATATAGCCTTTGTCAGGGAAGTCCTACTCACTGCCTTCTTGTGGCGGGGGTGTTGTTTACGAGAATGAGAGGACGAAAAGCGAATGTCCATCGATTTAACCGGATTCCAAACCAATGTGCACATGGGCTCCAGTATCCTGAAGGAACAAATGGCGTAGGAACCAATCGTTGGTCACCGGCTTCCATGGGAATGCATCTCCTTACGATGCTCCACTGCCTTGTGGATTTATTTATTTATTTATTTGAACACATAAATATTGGTACAAGAGAGCGCCAATATATATGCGCCACACAAAACAATGGGAATTCGAAGAGAAGTAGAAAGAAAAAAAAACGAAAAAAAAACTAAGAAACGCAAAAGAAAAAGAGAGTAATGACGAAGAGGTACAATCAGAAATCTTTCAGGTAAGGGAGACACAACCACTTTTTATGAAGAAAGTAAAAGAAGGTTACAGCAGGATCGCCACTGACTTCTATTCTGAGCCATATCTGACAACGTCTCTAGCCACTGTGTAGCACCATCTCTCGGACCCCAGCCAGGGAGTCGTGAAGGACCAACACAAGCCAGTCCTTTGCAGCTTTCTTTCATGCCACGACACCATGTCATGCACTGACCACCTCTCCGCTTTCTCCAACCAGTCCCAGAGTCGGCAAATAATGCACGACGTGGAATTCTCTGGGGCGACATTCGGAGAACATGTCCAAGCCACCGAAGTCGGTGTTTCAAGATGGTGACACCAATTGAGTTATCATCTCTGTGCCCGAACACACGATGCCGAACCTCTGCATTACTGACATGGTGTTGCCACTGAATGTCAGCAATCCTTCGGAGACAGCGATGATCGAACACAGAGAGTCGTCTAACGTCCTCAACTCGGAGAGGCCAGGTTTCACAAGCATAGAGCAAAACTGCTCTCACCGACGCGTTGTAGATCCGGCCTTTTACAGCCAGACTAACATCACGAAGGCGCCAAAGGTGGCCCAGATTGGCATAAGCCGCTCTGGCTTTCACTATTCGTGCATTGATCTCATCACTCACACCCCCACCAGCACTTATGCAGCTACCCAGATACACGAACTTCTCAACTACGTCTATCTGCTCACCATCCAGGGTGAGTACAGGATTAGAATCCTGCCAGTCTTGTAGAAGTACTTTGCACTTCGAAGGTGCAAAGCACATACCATACCTACGGACATTGATTGCCAACTGATTAAGTGCGGATTGCATGCCTTGGGCATTATCGCACAGTAAGACAATATCGTCCGCATACTCAAGGTCGAGAAGTCTTTCTCCAGGCAACAGATCCACACCACCATTACTTACATTCATCAGAGCTGTTTCCAGAATGTCATCCATGGCAAAGTTGAAGAGGAATGGTGAGATTGGGCAACCCTGCCTAACCCCACTGCTCGAATGGAACAATGGAGAGAGGTGGTTGTATGCCCTCACTCTGCCTGAGGTGTTTTTATACAGGGCTTTTAGGATGTTGATAAACTTCTCAGGCACACCCTTCTTCAATAGACAATCCCAGAGAACAGTCCTATCCAACGAATCGAAGGCAGCCCTGATGTCAAGAAACACTACGATTGTTGGCCTTTGAAAAGTATGGCGGTGTTCTAACATTTGGCGGAGGGTGAAGATATGATCAATACATCCTCGACCAGAACGAAACCCAGCCTGCTCCTCGCGAGTCAATCTTTCTCGGGTTTTGAACAACCTACGAAGAATGACGGAAGCCAATAGCTTGGACGCAATCGGAAGTAAACTTATCCCCCGATAGTTGTTACAAGAACGACGTGAACCCTTTTTAAAGATGGGGACAACTATCGACTCATTCCATGACGTTGGTACACTCCCTAGTTCCCAAACCTTTGTAAACAACGTCGTCAATTCCTTAGTCAAAAAGTCACCACCATCTTTAAAAAGAGCCGGAGGTAAGTCATCTGGGCCAGGTGATTTGTAACGCTTCAAGAGTTGGAGTTCCTTGCGGACTTCCTCCTCATTTGGTGGATCAGTCGTCACCGGCCATGGAGGGCAGGACAGTCTGACCGATGTTGCCGGAGCAGCAGGCCAGTTGAACTGCCCTTCGAAAAATTCTGCCCATCGTCCAAGACGTCGATGGATGTTAGTGATTGGCATCCCATCATCCTCGCAGACTGTTTCACTCACACCAGACTTCTTGCTGCCAGTGGCTCGGATGAGTTGGAAGAGCTTCCGGTAGTTACCAGATGCAGCTGCTGCTTCCAGCTCATTAGCACGCATCGACCACCAGGCTTCTCG